TGTTTCTGTATACTGTAAAGAATCCCAATAGCTAATCTTGTTTCTGTACACTTTAAAGAATTCCAATAGCTAATCTTGTTTCTGTACACTTTAAAGAATCCCAATAGCTATTCTTGTTTCTGTATACTGTAAAGAATCCCAATAGCTAATCTTGTTGTATTTTCCCTAAAGCTAATCATGTCCTTCGATGAGAAAGTCATCCAGTTTTTCAAGTATGCAGACAAAGACAACAGTAACAGTATAAGTCTGGACGAGTTGGTGCAGGTGTTCCGTTTGTGTGGCGATTACAGACCTGAGGACCAGATCAAGGTCAGCTTGTTAGTAGACATTGATAAACATTATGATATGAATGAACAAAGTATCTGTACTGAACAAGTCAATGGATGATTTCATCATTTCTCTGTTGTATCTCTACAGAAATTGTTCAAATTTATCGACACCAATAATGACAATAAAGTTTCATTAGAAGAACTGAAAACTGTCTTGGCCAAACAACCTCCAAAACAAAAGAGGTAACTAGAGCACTGACTTAGACCTAAGCATACAAGAGAAAGACCTAGTTCCATGACTAGTCACTAATTCGAGAAGATGTAAAATACGATTTTTAGCGGCCTCCGAAAGGAGAAAAGACGCTATTAGTTTTGTGCGAAATGTCTGTCCGTCTGTCCGTCCGTCCCGTTTAGATCTCGTTAACTAGAAAAGATTTTGAAAATCCGACAGCACAATATTTTAGACCATTCAAAGTTCTGATGCAACCTGTACTTTTTTTTTCCTGAAATCGAAAAATCTAATTTTTAAAATCAGTTATGCATGCAGTTTTTTAAAGAGAAAAAGCTAATTAGTATGCATTATAAATTAGACCTAATTTAAAACGAATAGTAATCTTATAAACTTAATTTTCTATGTTTTTTTTTTTTAAAGTTGGGACGGTGCAGTCTCCAATTCAAATTAAAGATTAAGCCTTTTCAAAACACTTACATTATGTAAAGATCAGGAGAGGCCTGGTAAATCGCTTAGCTTCCGAACCGAGGGTCCCGGGTTCGAATATTGGTGAAGACTGGGATTTTCAACTTCGGAATCCTTGGGCGCCTCTGAGTCTACCCAGCTCTAATGGGTACCTGACATTAGTTGGGGAAAAGTAAAGGCGGTTGGTCGTTGTGCTGGCCACATGACACTGTCGTTAACCGTAGGCCACAAAAACAGATGAACTTTACATCATCTGCCCTATAGACCACAAGGTCTGAAAGGGGAACTAGTTAGGCCAGATTCACATCTAACTTTGCATTCACTTGCACCTATCCTTTGATCTGCAGCACCATTAGGGCACTACACAAGATCTGTCAACCTTCTTTCTCCATTCTTATCTCTTATATGTCTTTGATATAATTTCATTTGGATGTTCTTTCTGAAAATACTAAAGCATGCCTGGGTGAACCACTTCGGGGCCGATTTTAAGTTTGTGTTTCCACACAAACTGTCTTTGTAACCTTGTTTTGTTTGTATTTAGACCTACCATGTACTTGAAACAACTCACTTTTTGAGTTAGAAACAGCCACCGGTCAATTCCCCCCGTTAGAAACAGCCACCGGTCCATTACCTCGTTAGAAACAGCCAGCGGTGCATTTCCCCGTTAGAAACAGCCATGGCCGCCGCTACCTATTGTACAATGTGTGCATTGCACGCAGGCGGCCAAATGTAAGGGGCGGTCAAATCATTATTCTAAGGTTACCTTTTAAAAAAAAAAATTTTGTTTAATAAAAAACAATTACTCAGATATTATAATGTTTGACATAAATTTTAAGTATTCCGATATCCTTTAAAAAAACGATATTCGTACATAAGAAGCTATTTTGGAAACTTTAATAAGAAAGACAATGGAAAGGCGCGCGTGGGATTCCCAAAGGTTTATGAATAGTCGCCTACATATTTCTGACCTTGAATTTTTCGCGTGTTGTCTGTACTATTTGTTTCGAATGACGCTTACAGAAGTAGATCCGTCAACACATTGTTTTCTTCTTAGTATCTACTTACTGCATATAAATATTGTTGTTTAGTTAATACTTCGCCCTGTAAGTAGATCTAGTCATTAAAAACTCAATGTTAAAAACATTTTCATTTTTATATTAAATGGCAGATAGTTAAGCGTATAATATTTTCGGATTATCGTAGATGTAGATCTACATTAAGTTGTTGGCTACTAGCTGTTTGGAGCAACAAAGCCAACGACCGACTAACAACAAATGGGGCGGCGGCGAAAAAATTGTTTTATTTTCATTGTAGTTATTAATCCGTGTCTGAATATTACCAATGTTTAGAAATTAAAATATCTTAAGTAAAGACGTCGTTTAATAAGACAACAATGTTGGTTAAAACTTTGAAGAAAACCTTTCAAAACGTCTCCGCTAGTGTGTTTCTTTTTGGATTTTCTTATCTGAGATTGGTCGAATTTTTTCGACTATTGCACTTCATTAGGTGACGATTTGTTTGTGAAAAAAAATGTCCGTGACAGAGACGTCTTACTTAGCACGAAGATGATCTTTAAAAAGACCACGCCCATTACAGACGTCCGTGCACTATATCCTAGAATGTCCCTTGAATAATACTGTTGACCATGGCTGCCTCTTTATTACAAGACTTTTTTTTTACTAGGATGAATGGTACGTTCTAAAAGAAAACTCACTAATATTGGCCTTTTTTATATTCTTTCTTTTTATTACGAGAAAAAGGTGTAAATGCTTGGATAAAGAATTTCTGAAGCTGAAAACACCAGAATACGCTCAGCGCCGGGACCCGGACTCGAAATCAGACCCCTTGCCGACTTGAGCGAAAAGCCGCCGAATGTTCAATTCTATCTCGAGAAAGAACTTTATGCAACGCCTAAAAATTATGTAGGCAACATTTTTTCCACCCCCACCCCTATTGACCTTTACATCGCCCCTCTAGGCTACAAGTTTCTAATGGGGCTCGATCGAAATTTTGTCCTATAGGGCGTCGCCACCCCGAAATATTTGAGAAACACTGCTTTAATTTGTTTTATTTCAAGCTATTGTATAAGTGACTTATACTTCGGATTATTTATTGTATATCGATACAGAAAAATATTCAGCGCTGAGTTGCTTCATTTTGTACTAGTGGTGTGTGGGGCAAATGTGTAGGTACCTCCTCAGTTGAGCCTCAGTTGATTGTGGACACAATGCACTTCTCTTCCAAATACAATCGTGATAATCATTATCAAAGTTCAAATCAATGGCTTTTGTGTTTTGGGTTTTACTTTATTCTGCATTGGTCCATGTCGTTTCTTTTATAAAGGCGACATTACAAGTACAATAAAGTCAAGGATTAGGGTCACATTAATTCTGAAAAGACACGAATATAATGCAGAAATAATTTTTAAAAAATTCTCTTTAAAAGAAAACAGCCACCTGTCCAATCCCCCGTTAGAAACAGCCACCTGTCCATTCCCCCGTTAGAAACAGCCACCTGTCCATTCCCCCGTTTGAAACAGCCACCTGTCCATTCCCCCGTTTGAAACAGCCACCGGTCCATTCCCCCGTTTGAAACAGCCACCGGTCCATTCCCCCGTTTGAAACAGCCACCGGTCCATTTCCCCGTTTGAAACAGCCACCGGTCCATTCCCCCGTTTGAAACAGCCACCGGTCCATTCCCCCGTTTGAAACAGCCACCGGTCCATTCCCCCGTTTGAAACAGCCACCGGTCCATTCACCAAATCAAACTATTTTCTTCATTTAATTTTTTTAATTGACTTTTTAATCCAACTAAATCCACACGTTTCAGAATGAGGTTTCCTCTATTGCGGCATCAGAAAAAGGAAAAATGCACCATTATTTGTGTGTGGTCTATATATAACAATAGGTTACCTCTAAAGAGCGAAAATCCCTTAATTTGCAGATTAACTAGGGAAATCCGTTAGTGTGCTGAACTTTGTTTCATTTGTTCACATTAACTACATAATGTGCAAATTACCTAGATAGATTGTACATTAACCTATAATTCTAACCCTATTACTAATCCTTATCCCGTAACCTACACCTACACCTAAACCCTTACCCTACCCATACCCCTAACACTAATCCTACTCCCTAACCATAACCATAAACTCTGAGCCTAACCCTAAACTAACACTCTATCTCAACGGTGCGGAAGCCGCTAATGTGCACGTTACCAGGTAAAATGCGAATGCCGCACATTAATGGAGTAAGTCAATGTGCAGATTAACATATTTCGCACATTAACGGAGCAAGTCAATGTGCAGATTAACATATTTCGCACATTAGCGGTAGCATATATATATACATTTGTAAAAGTTGGTATGATAATTATTTCTTGAGTTTAATGTATATGTTTAGAGTCACACAAAAGACTAAGTATAGAACTGATGCTGTTATATCTTTTAGCTAATGCACTTGATATTCTGTTTTTCTGTATTTCTGCTTACAACTTGTGTATCCTATAGGCCTCTAGTTTCTACTCACAACTTGTGTATCCTATAGGCCTCTAGTTTCTACTCACAACTTGTGTATCCTCTAGGCCGCTAGTTTCTACTCACAACTTGTGTATCCTATAGGCCTCTAGTTTCTACTCACAACTTGTGTATCCTCTAGGCCGCTAGTTTCTGCTCACAACTTGTGTATCCTCTAGGCCGCTAGTTTCTGCTCACAACTTGTGTATCCTCTAGGCCGCTAGTTTCTGCTCACAACGTGTGTATCCTCTAGGCCGCTAGTTTCTGCTCACAACGTGTGTATCCTCTAGGCCGCTAGTTTCTGCTCACAACGTGTGTATCCTCTAGGCCGCTGGTGTAACTATGTTACACTCTAACCTCATCATTTACACTCGTGTTGTTGTTTTTTCAGAGAATTTGATCTGAGAGCTGCCTTCAAAGAGATAGACAAAGATAACTCTGGCTCTATTAATATCAAAGAACTTCAAGAATTCCTCACTAAGAATGGCTATGACGATGATGTCAAGGCCGTCATTGCAGCAGCAGATAAAAATGGCGACGGTGTAATTAGCTTCGAAGAATTCGTGGCTTTGATTCAATGAACACGATGGAACATTGTCTCAGCTTTTAAATATTTTTTCTTTCGAAAAGTCCATAATATGATAGATATGAATTGATATTTGACTGGAATGAAATGTTGCCTTTCTTCGACTGTTTCTCTCAGTCAATCAGTGAACCTTGTTAGAATGTTGTACATGTTGCAATGATTATTACAATGTTTCCAGTTGTACATGACATGCATGTATTCATGATTACCTAAATACTATAGACATCAATAGAATCTTTAGATGGAAATAAATTATACATTCTATTTACACTCACACAAAGTGTCTGCCTTCAGTACATTTCTCAATTTATAGACGACGTTTGACTGGCTTTAGTAATGTTCACCTATCTAATCTAGTGTTCACCTATCTAATGTTCACTTATCTAATCTAGTGTTCACCTATCTAATCTTGTGTTCACCTATCTAATCTAGTGTTCACCTATCTAATCTAGTGTTCACCTATCTAATCTAGTGCTCACCTATCTAATCTTGTGTTCACCTATCTAATCTAGTGTTCACCTATCTAATCTAGTGTTCATCTATCTAATCTAGTGTTCACCTATCTAATCTTGTGCTCACCTATCTAATCTTGTGCTCACCTATCTAATCTTGTGCTCACCTATCTAATCTTGTGTTCACCTATCTAATCTAGTGTTCACCTATCTAATCTAGTGTTCACCTATCTAATCTAGTGTTCACCTATCTAATCTTGTGCTCACCTATCTAATCTTGTGCTCACCTATCTAATCTTTTGTTCACCTATCTAATCTTGTGTTCACCTATCTAATCTTGTGTTCACCTATCTAATCTTGTGTTCACCTATCTAGTCTATGTTCACGTGAAGAGAGTTAAAGCTAGAGAGTTGAGGCAGCATGAGATCGTCTGGACTAAAGATATTTTCCGAAAGGAAAATGCTGAATTTTTTTTCTGTCTCGCGAACTCTTTCATTGCAAGTTTATTCACCAGAATCTCAAGCCACTTTACTTTTTATTTTAGCTTACTTCGAATGGAGTCTCACCAGAGAATGTTTACTCCAGCAAACTAAACAATGGAGAGTCACCACACGAAGCTGTGGCTCTAGCTTTAGAGCCATTCTTTCATTCCCACCAAGTGCAATGTTTTTAGAAACATATGATGTCCGAAATTCCGTATTGGTTTTCTATGTTAGCCAGTAAGAACAGAGCCGGTTTTACGACAGAGCAGAACTGTGCAGTCACACACCCACAGAGAAACTCACATGATCTCACACAGGCCTCACCCTAAAAGGAGCCTTCCACAATTTTTAATTTTTAAAAATTTTGTTAGAAAACATGTGAAAATGAGAGAATGAAGATTAACTCTAGTACTCTATAGAGTACTCTATTTATTTTTTCACAAATATGACTCTCAATAAGAGAGAAGCGAGTCATTTTCTGTTCTCTCAATAAGAGAGAAGTGAGTCATTTTCTGTTCTCACAATGAGAGAGAAATGAGTCATTTTCTGTTCTCGCAATAAGAGAGAAGTGAGTCATTTTCTGTTTTCACAATGAGAGAGAAGTGAGTCATTTTCTATTCTCACAATGAGAGAGAAGTGAGTCATTTTCTGTTCTCACAATGAGAGAGAAGTGAGTCATTATCTGTTTTCACAATGAGAGAGAAGTGAGTCATTTTCCGTTCTCACAATGAGAAAGATAGAAAAGAGTCATTCTCTTTACCTTTGTGGGAGAGGGGAGAACGTCATTCTTTGAAAGTCACTCTTTGTTCACACAACAAGAGAGAGAGAAGTCATTTTCTGCTCATACAATGAGAGTAGAGAGTCATCTATAATATAAGGCAGAAAGGAAGGCGTATGTATGTATGTCCCACATAGAAATCAAACCGTTTGACCAATCTTGATAAAATTTGGCAGAAATGTTCCTTAAATCATGGTAGTGTGTGTTTAATGGCCCTACCACTATTGGAGGCCAAATAAATAGACAAAAAGTGCCCTAATTGTTCCTCTAGTAAAAAACAAAACGTTTGAACCAATAAGGTAAACCCGTTTTCACAGGAGTTTATATTTGATCTAAATATGTCGGCTGAACGGATAAGACCATTTGTACATTGTACTTTTATTTTCGTGACAAAATAAAATAAAATGTGAAGGGAACATTCTCCATGTTTAACATAGACCTAACTTCAAACCAGTAGATCAGTAATACCTAAGCTATGGGTCATCTCCTGCTAATTCTTTATAAATATTATTTGGGATAGGTGTGACGTGATACCACTGACCAGTGACCACTGACCAGTATTTCTTTTGGATTCGAAAGGAACGTTTTTCTCGGTTTGTAATGTTTGACTAAATGCATGACGCGTAGGACGTAATCATCTTCTTTGTTGAAGTAACGTCTGTATTGTATAAGATAAGATAAGAAAAAGTGAATGTTTTTCTTTTCACCGTTTGAATACATGGCTCCTTCTGTCTCGGAAGACAATGGATGCGCCAGATGAGTCACTGACTTTGGTGACTTTGGCTCTTGAGATGGGGCAGAATCTGGAGTGGCTGATCAAGCCAATTCGGGAGAAGCAGAGTTCGCCACAGTCCGTGCATATATATCCATCTGTCCTAGGGCTAGCTGACAGGGCAGCTTTCTTTTTCTTTCTCTTGGCTGACGCAGCTTCGATTCTTTTGCACTCAGCGAAGTTAGTACCAGCACGGACAGTCTGTCTTCATGCTGTCCGGTCTTGGGCTATCTCCTCCCACATTTAATCTGTGTTCTTGTCACATGTAAGTTGCCCAGCTTTCACTGCCATAAAGAGGTGTGCTCAGAACGCAAACATTGTAGATCAGGATTTTTGTTGCCGTAGTCAATTTGGTATTTTCCCACACGCGCTTGGAGATTTTTTGCCATTGCTGCAGAAGCTTTTCTTATTCTTTTTGTCAGCTCAGTGTCTAAATCTAGGTTGCTGGATATTGTTGTTCCCAAGCATGTGAATTTCTGACCCCTTTCAGACCTTGTGGTCTATAGGGCAGATGATGTAAAGGTCATCTGTTTCAGTGGCCTACGGTTAACGAGGGTGTCATGTGGCCAGCACAACGACCAACCGCCTTTACTTTTCCCAAACTAATGTCAGGTACCCATTAGAGCTGGGTGGACTGAGAGGCGCCCAAGGATTCCGAAATAAAAATCCCAGTCTTCACCAGGATTCGAACCCGAGACCCCCGGTTCAGAAGCCAAGCGCTTTACCGCTCAGCCACCGCTTATTGTAAGGCTAAACTTTTGATAAGCAGCTGCCAGAGCATTCACATGCCTCTGCAATCCTAATTGTAAATGAGATATGAGTGCAGCAACATCGGCGAACAGCACTTCCCTAATCAAGATACCCCGTCTTTTTGTTTTGGCTTTAAGGCATGCCAGGTTAAATCAGTTCTGTGGATTAGATGGGATGAAAGGGTATCTCGAAGGTTTTCAATAGCAATTTTTTTTTAAAGTTGCTCGAGTTAGAACTAGAACTTGAGCCTCCACGATGGAAGGCCAATTTGCTTGCCACTGAGTTATTCATGTACTTACAAATATAAGCTTTATAGTCTATTGTAGGTTTAAAATGTTTAGCGAATGACCTAGTTCTTTACAATTTTTTGAGTGATGTTTATGTTGTCCTCGACAAAGAAAAATTGTGTAAAGTTTCTACTTGTTCCAAGAATGGGAAGTGGGAGAAATAACGAGTAGAAGAGTTCTCCCAGACGGTGTGAGTGGATCCATGGTTTGGTACACCGTCAATAGAACAAAGTTGAGTAGGACAGAGGAAAGGAAATAGAGAAATACAAAAAGAGATTTGGTGGAGAACAAAAAAAGAGAAAGATTTAGAATGGGGGGGGGGGGATGAGAGGGAAAGAAAGAAGGAGAGAGAACAAGAGCTTGGGCCGGAGGGCGGGGGGGGGGGGTGTTACAAAATGAGTTGATAGCTTTTAATGTTTCAGATGGGGGACCTGGTGGCTGAGTGGCAAAGCGCTTGGCTTAAGATCTGAGTGGTCCCGGGTTCGAATCTCGTTGAAAGCTGGGATTTTGAGCTTCGGTATTTTTAGGACGCACCTGAATCCCAGCATCTCTAATGGATACCTGAAATTAGTTGGCGAAGAAAAAGCGTGTGATTGTTGTGCTGGCCACGAGACACCCTCGTTAACCATCTGTCATAGAAATGGATGCTCTTTACATCATCTGCCCTTCAGGGGGGAAACTTTACTTTTTTACTTTAATGTTAAACAAAAAAATCTAGTGTGAACACACAGAAGACAAACATTGACACAGAAAAAGCCTTTCAACACCTACAGCAGTAGAAGTTTATGGTCAGAGATTTTCAATTCAAACTCAAGGAATAGTGCACATCCGTAAACACCTTCCAGCCACCTACACAAAAAGTTGTTCACACAGCAAGCAAGTTTCACTTCACCATTTTTAAAATAGCCTACAAAGCACTAACGGTAGATCTCTGCTTTTTCTCTTTCTCTGTAAACAAGATAGTGGTGAAAAGAACTATGGCGCAGAATTGTGTCGAGTGACACAGCTCGAGTGATTCTAGATGTTACCAGTGACAAGCTAGACGTGTCACATACCTACAGTCTAGGTCACACACAAGAAAAGGTAAGATTTTGCTTATTATAATAAACTCGCACTGTCTATAATCTCTGTAAGATCTTTAAGTTATGACATATTATAGAATGTAGGCTATATAGAAGAAATTCTTAAAACTAGTCGACCGGCGGCGAATCATACGCCGCTATTTTGCTGGACCGGCCTTAGGCCACTGCAAACTATGCGATCGCAGTGGGCTCCGCACTTTCATAGGATCCGCACTTTCATAGGACCCGCGCTAATTCTAGGTGTATAAATTATTAAATTAAACCATATTATAACTTAAAACAGATTTCCCGCGCCCTCCTGACGATTTACCAAGAGCTCATGGAAATCTCCCAAAATTACAAAATATACGAAACAGTCCTTAAAATATACGGAATATATAGACAAAAATTGTCATTTTGGGGTGTCATTCAATATCTAAAATGCCAATCCTACGCGCGATAAATAAAAACGGTATTATGCATTAGCCGTAATTGTGTAATCTGGTGAAAGAAGCTTCTCGCTCCTCAAACTAATGAAGAATTACTTGAGGTCAACAATTCTCAAAGATAGATTGAAACATTTGGTAATTCTTGCTATTGAGCGTGATCTATGTAGGAAACAGAATTATTATGATATACTGTATGACTTCGCTACACGCAAGTCTCTTAAAGTAATTCTGTACGTAGTAAAGAATGAAT